GGGGGGGGGATCTGTGGGAGACTCAAGCCTCTTCGTTCAACTATGGTGGTAAACAGGGATGCAAGAGACAAATAGTGACATGACCTATTTCACATTCCAATTCTTATTTGTCCTTTTTTCCCCCCCAGAAATATAAGCTGATAATTACTTGAGGGCCAGTAAAATCAATACAGATAAAATTCAAAGTCTACCGCCCTGACGCCTAATGGGACCGGTAGACAGAGAGAGAGAGCAATGGTACATGTTTTGTACAATAAAACATGTATGTACACTCACACACACAAATATATATATTTACATACATATATACACAGTAACAGCATAAACATAGACTTTAGGTAAGTGCTAGGGTTTTGAGAGTGGCTTCGTCACAGCCGTGCTATAGGGTTAAGATAATACTGGTAAAGGAAGAATACACACATTCTTTGTACAGCATGGATGAGGCATCCACGGCTAGATGAGCCTTCTCGGGTTTCTTCTTTGTTGCGTTTTTTTTTCTTCTTCTTTTAGGACACTTGTCGTGTGACAAGAGGTGTTATGATAGCTATTTACAGGGCCTCCCAATTTAGGGAGAGGTGTAGTGCAAGTCTCTCCGACTGTCAGTCACTCAGGATGTGCACAAAAGACATGGGGAACACCCCTTTTCTGTCCGGCTCTCCTTCAATGTGCCCGATCTGGAAGTGTAAAGAGAACGTGTGAGAAAGAGAATAGAGGGGCATTCAGTGTTTCTTTTTTGTTCCCTTCAGATGGTTCAAAGAAGAACAAGCTGGAGGTCGATAAAGAAACAAGAGCGTAGTACTGAAGCTGGACTTACCCACCACTCCTGATCCTCTTCTCCTGTAACTATTATCACCTCTCCTTCAGCAAAAGTCAGTTCGTCATCATTGTCAGCCTGGCAGTCGTAGATCGTCTTCACCCGACGGGTTTTGCTCTTCCCCTGGACATTTACATAACAAAACTGTTACCATAGATAAAACAAACGTGTCTCTGTTGACTCTCAGTTAGCTTAGTCACCAAAAGGTGTCCAGGAATATTAATATTAAAAAAAGAGACCTGGCAGAAAAAGCAACAAAATACATCTAAATCACATAAATGCTTAAGTGTGTTCTCTCTGTGACCACCGGGTTCAGATACTCTTGAAGAATTCAAAATGGAGGGTCAGTTTGACATTTTATTTACGAATATGTCATATTCATGCATATGTGGTAATATTGCATCCTCTTGGACCACTGTAGTTAAGTTTCTTTCACCGGGTAACTGTTTCTAGTGTATTTTGAGTGAGAAAATGGATAAATATAATCCAAAAACAACTGAATATGCAACACGAATACCACACGGTCAGCAGTAGGAGAAGAGCCCTTAAATGGCATAATGCATCACATGCATTACATTTATAGAAGATAGACTGATTAATTGGTCAGTTATTTAAGATTTATCAAACACAAAATTGTCATTTAGAATCAGGGTCTCCATTAGAGTTCATGTACTTGAGAGTTTATTTGTCCTGTTCAGTACCTGGGTCACGATTCTTTTAAAAAAAACGAAAGGAATCTTAAATCAATAATGTCGGTTTATGTAAAGAATAGAAGTAAAAGGTAAGCATGTTCATACCGTGTTGATCTTCCTCGGCAGGGGCACTGGTGTCTCCGCAGTCCCCGCTGGGGTCCCATTGGTGTCTTCAGCAGCTTGTTGGGTGGGGGTCCCTATAGTGGCCTGCTGATTAGGTGACGGTGAGTCTTGAGGCTGAGGTTGCGGTTGAGGCTGAGCTTGAGGTGGAGGCGGAGGCTGCGTTTGAGGCCTTTGCACCGTCTCACCGGGAGGCGGCCTGGGAGTGGACTCGGCTGTTCCGGGTTTGGGGGGGATGTCGGCGAGATGCGGCTTGGGAGGCAGGTCTTTGAGCTGGGGTTTCGGCGGGAGATCGCCCAGCTGAGGCTTAGGAGGGAGGTCTGAGAGCTGCGGCTTCGGTGGAAGTTCTCCAGGTTTAGGAGGAAGTTCAGACAGCTGCGGTTTGGGGGGCAGGTCTCCCGGCTGAGGCCTGTCCGCCAGAGGAGCCTTCTGCGGGGTGTCAGTCGCCGGCGGGGACTTCTGGAAGACCTCTGGAGGGAGGCTGGGCTTATCCATAGACGGGTGGTGTATGGTGTCAATCTTCCGCAATGCCACTGGAGAGAGCAGCATACACTTACTTAATACATTCTTCAATTCAACAGCTGGCATCAACATGAAAACTGGACCAAGACTGTACCTTTCTGAGGTAGTTTGGGAAGAACCCGTGGACCAAGTGTAGACTTTGTGTTGCTTGAAGTAGTGCTGGGAAAAGATTTTCAAATGAAGTTAAATGGAAAAACAGAATCCAAGAAGATGCTTGCATCATCAGCTGGAATATATTTTATCATAGCAAATAAAGCAATACATTTCAAGCCAATTAAGCTTAACATGTTGTACCTTTGCTGCTGAGGAATTCCTTCAAACTTGTTAGAAACAGGAGACATCTTGCTGACAGGAGGAGGGGTGGAGTCGCTCCCTAAAACATCGACATTGATGATGACACAGTTCGCTCAACACCATGACAGAGCACTCACCAAGACATTCATTAAATATAAATGTGGAAATAACTTAAACATGCTGTGATGGTTAAAAATAATGAGGGAGGCGTCACCTGGCTGAGCTTTCTATGAGCCCCTGATAATTAGTGTTTGTGCAATAAAGTGTCATCATGATAATTAGTGATCGGGTGTTACTGTACGGCTGACACAGAATGCATAAAACACCACAGAGGACAAATGATAAAAGTGGAATAACAGTCAAAATACACATAAAGAACACAAGATTGCAGGTAAGATGACTGAGGTGTCTTCTTCTGTGGTGGTTACAAGATCATGTGTAGATCAACCAGAGTCAAACAAAACGATGCTTTTGTCTCTGTGACATGAGTCAGACTCACGGATGTCTCTTTGTGCCGTTTGGAAGTATGTTTACTGGTGAACCCAGCGTAACTTGTGGATGTTTAATGATTAAAATTGTCTCTTAAAAGTAGCAAAGCATAACATTTTTCAGTCAGATGTCCACCATTCAAGGTAGTTAAACTCAAATGTATTGGATACGGTGCTGTAATGTCAATGCAGGTTATTTTTAACCCTCACACAGACCAACCATCCAGCACATGACAAGCTGAGGGTTTAATACTTTTCACAGCTTCGCAGTAAAGGACAGAAAAAAGCCTTAACTGCATTATTTATTTGGTGTTTTCTTTTATGTTATGTGATAGTAAACTGAATAATTTCCTTAAAAAGGTCTAAAAATAGTCACATTGGACTTCAGACCGAATGATTACTCAAAATACCAGATTAGTAAATAAATGTTAGGTGGAGCCCGACACATATCCACCTAATGAGTCAGACTACCATTGAACATACCTTTGAACTGCACAAAGAGAAATAAAAAGGCCTCCACTGGTCTGCTCGGCTTTAAATTAAAAACCCTCAAGAAATATAAAAACATTTAATAATTCCCTCTTAATCGTGGGAACATTTGACAAAATAAGTCTTAACTCAAGGTCCTCTTAGGAGCTTTTTCTGAACCCAGTTTTAACTTTAATTTCAGTGCAGGACTTTTTAAAATAACCCTGCAATTTTGGACGATGATAGCATCGGCGCTTTCAGGCTGGAGTGAAAGCAGCTCTACTGTTCTGACGTGTGCTTGCGTCTCACCCCCAGTCAAGCCCCCTTTACTGTGTGGACTGTGAGAGAGCGGGCTGGGTGGGTCAGACAGGGTGCGTTTGTGTCCAGGAGGTGGGGGCGGAGGTCTCTTCTTGGACAGGGTGGAGCTGCCTCCCGGTGTGAGTGTAGAGGGAGTGCCAGATGGGGGAGGAGCTGGAGGAGCGATACATAAAACACATGAGGTGATGCGGCCCCCCCTAAAAAAAGTCAGTCATTCTGTTAGACCCCCCAAAAAACCCCCAGAGAAAGTAAGGGAGAGGACAATGAAGCATGGAGAGGAGAGGAGCGAGTAGAACAACATACTGTCTGAACAAATATACAACGGAAAGGTCTGGACTGGAATACGAAATAATGAAAAGGGACACATTTGGGCTGCGAGCACATTTGTTGGTGTCTCTACTCTGTGAATTTGTTCATGAACACGCCTGTTTGTGTTTAACGGGACCCCAAAGCACTAATTTGTTCCCTAATATAGAGAAAAGTAGGGTGAAAGCAGCCAATAGAGAGCTCAGCCAGAGAGGAATCAGCTGTGGTTGAGGGTTTACAGCTCAAGGATGGTGGGACATGATTCCAAAAAACCCCATGTAGGCGAGAAATAATCAACTGGAGAATCAGCTGGCCTACACGGTCCCATTGTTCTACTTAAATAAAGCACCACCACCCTGTGAATCTGAGCTGTAAAGGAGTTAAACAACTGAGGGACAGGTATATACTGTATGGGGGCACACAGCCGAGTAAGGGGGAGAACATAAAACCAGGATATTCACTGATGTATGGTCGGGTGCCAGCCAGTGTAGCGTAGTGCGAATGAGAGCCGAGGAATGCCAAGTGTGGAGCTGAAAGAATAGAGAAACAAAAAAGAGAAAGAAAAGAGAGCGAGATGAGGAGTGTGGGAGAGAATCTACAGTATGTCAGTCTTAAAAAGAAGAGAGAGCTGCTCCCACACACACTGTAAAATAACAAGATGAAATCTTATCAGTGGCAAGCAAAGAAGGAAAATTAAAAAGAGGAAAAATGGCGCGAAGTCGGCCCCCGGGGGCCGAGCTCTTCAGCACCCGCTGAGAGAGAGAGAGAGAGCGCTGCATCTGAAGAGTTAGCATGCTATTCTAGATGTCATTTAGCCTCTTATTCTGGCTTTTCATCTTATTTTTAAATAAATCAAACTTCACTTGTTTCCAGTGCTGTTTTTAAGGAGGTGATGGTTTCTTTATGTCTTCTACGCGGCTCCTCAAATGATTAGGATGCTGACATTCTATCTGGAGAGACGCAGCTTTAGCCTCAGTCTTTTAGCATTTTGTCAAGTATGTAAGCTATCATGAGCATATCTAACACCATTTAACAGGGTTCTCATTTTAAAGCGACTCAGCTAAAAAAGATGAACAGCTGGAGAAAGAGTCTGTGTTAATTAGCTCGATAAAAATCTGCCAGCGACAGTCTTCACTTCAGCCAACGAAATCGCCGGCTGCCAGCTCGAAATGAGGAGCCAACTTTTATCTGTTCACGTCTGTGTGAAAGCAAACGGTCGATGGTTAATCTGCCGCGTTGTCATCATGAACTGAGAACGGAAAGCTCGACAGGCGGAGCAACATGAACTAAGGGTTCAATTGAAACAACTGGAAACAGGTGAGATTTCACAATTTTTAAGAAAAATAAGATTTAAAAACTCAATAATGGATTTAAAAATGACTTGTTGAGATGGATGTTTTGCAGTGTAAGCTTTAGAATGTTCTCACCCTGTGATGTACTAAAGCTGTGAGTGCTGGTGTCCACAGAATAAGTGTTATCTTTAATTCTGATACTGCAGAGACAGCACGCCCACAGTGCACCGTGTGTATGCTGTGTCGAAGGATAATGATGAAGTTTGCATTTAGCTTCACTCTCACAGGCTAACCATCGCCAGGCTTCCCTCCCCTGCAGCTATGTTTTCCTGAAGGTTTACTGTGTAAGCAATCTTCCTGACACCTGTATCCCTCCCTCCGATTCGCGTGTTGACAAATTGCATTCCACTGCAGGGAGGGTTTGTATATGTGTGTGTGTGTGGACTGACTGACAGTGCAAAGGAGAAAAAAGTGATTAGGAAGCACTCATCTGCACCTTATCCTGTCCTGAATATAATCAAACATTAACAGACATAAAGTACAGTTTCAAACACTATCTTCCCTCTACAGTAGTCAGACAGCATTTGCATTACAGGATGTAAACTAAACACTGATAAAACCGTAAATGTCGTCGGAATATGGTTTCAAAAGCACTTGGAGCAGGCCGGTCTGACCTTTCCCCTGGTTCCTAGGTGGCAGCGGCGGCCCGTCGGCCACGGGGGAGGAGGTGAGGTCGGTGGAGGCGCTGTACATCTGGTTGGTGAAGGCGCTGTAGGACAGACGCTGCTGTTTGTCCCGCTGGCTGATGAAGCCCGGCAGGGAGAGCTTGTCGTGGGGGGAGAGGCTGGAGGAGTGGCAGAAGCTCTGAGGCCTCGGGCTCCGGTCCTTCTTGATGGGACTGGGCTGCAGAGGGACATGAGGCAGCTGAGACGGAGCCGACATGCACGGAAGTGCAGATTGGCTGAATTGCAGGCCAAAATATCTGTAGATGTCTGGCATGTAGTTTGGACCGTTGAAATATAACCATTTGAGTAGTTAAAATTACTCAAATTTCAAACAAACTTATTTCTAACCTCAATGTTTCGATGACATTTGACAAGTAAATCACCAAATCTTAGTTATAGAGTCAAACCACTGAGCTCCAGAGCAACACTACTCCAGACTGACTCGAAAAGCCGCTTTTATTATTAGATTCAACAGGTACGGCGGCGCGATGAAAACCTGATTGAATTCCAGCTCATCCAACTGAATGAGACGCTCTGTTCGAACCTTATCGTCGAGGTCGTCGTCGCTCTCGTCCATCTCCTCCAGTCTGAGGCTCCACTCGTACTCCACATGGATGTGGGGGTTGAACTTCCCCTCTGCAGCCTGCACCAGCTAACACAGACATAGATCATCATCAGTTACACACATCTAAACCATTATCAGTCAAATGGAAAACAGCAACAAGATAAAAGGAGTGACATTAATATAAAAATATAAAATATAAAAATCTATAAACAGACACGGAATAAACTGTGAAAAATATGTAATAGGGTTCAGTCTTCTCTGGGTAGGATTAATTAACAAGGAGACAGTATCACTAAAGTCTTACATTTGGTAATATATTTATTAGACATTGTACACTGCATATAAAAGAGCTTTTTGTATCTGCACGGTCATACTAGCGTTAATAATGAACATGCATCAACAGTTACTTCCACTCTACTGTCCCTGTTGCTCGAGGCTGCAGCCAGACCTTTGACTGCCATCTAGTGTTCCGAATAATCTGCCTATGAACATGTTTGATCAACCGCCATCTATTCTCTGCAACCTTTTGTTTCATTTCTCCGTATTTTTTTGCGATTCAGTGTTTTTCTTGAGAGCATTCAAATCCACTGTGATGTCCAAAAAACCACCAGCTGGGCGGACTTGTACTTACTGCCTCCTCACACTGAGTGTTCCTCAGTCGCCTGGCAACATCCAGCGCAGTCTCTCCGTTCTGATTGGCTGAAGGGGGGAGGAGGGACGAGCAACAGTTAGGAGTCTGGATACATGCGCACGGATGACATTAACGAGAGGAGAGGTGACTCACTGATATCAGTCGCCGGCTTGCCCCTCAGGAGCAACTTGAGGCATTCGGGCTTCTCGTACATGCTGCAGTAATGAAGGGCCGTGTTCCCCCACTCCGTCTGCTTATCCAGGTTACCGCTGGGAGAAAACACACACACACACGCACGCACACAGAGTCAGGACACAGGTTACAAGCCTCAGGGTGTTTTCCACAGTCTTGCAGCTTCAGGTCAATGTGTTATTTTGCAGGGTTTAGTGATTTAGCGTGAGAGAAAACTGGAATTAGTTTTCACTGTATAGTGTGCTGTTTGTTAAAACAGTATCTCCAAACATTTCAGGAAGCATAATTAAACTGTGTGTGTGTAAAATATTAAAAAAGGTCTAAGAAATCAAATGTTGTAAATGGGGTATTTAATACCCCATTTACTTGGAATTAAATGTGTGAAAGCACAGGATGGTTAAATATATAATTTAAAGGTCATTAATACAAGGATTTATGTTTATTAAAAATCACTATTTTATTTGTGTGAAAATAAATAATTCAAGTTTGTATAAGTGTGTTTGACTGGATGTGTGGACTGCAGGACGAATAGACAATGCTTGTGCTAATGACATTACATTACAGTCATTTAGCAGACGCTTTTATCCAAAGCGACTTACAATTCAGAGTCTATCACATTTCTACACCGTAGGCACAGCTACGGGAGCAATCTTGCTCAAGGACACATCGACAATGTGACAATGAGAATCCTAAAATTAAATCGGTCATGAAAAAATAAATAAAATGTAATTGTAAAAAGCCGTGCAAAACCAACTTCATGCTACACTGCTACAGCAGGTAAATAATCCCTTTTACATCGCTTGTAGCTCTCAGAAAGGGCGAGAGAATTATCTTAAATAATGAGGGCCGAGCATGACACCGTACCAGCACAGCTATTAATTAATAAGAGGGTTCCACTTCTTGTGTGTGCAGTTGGAGCAGCGGTGGGTAAACAATCGAAAAGAGAGGAATACATTAAGGCAGGGAACAAGTGCTTGACCCATTTCTGTTTGCCTTGTGGGAATCTGAGCTGTGCGGTGCTGAGCTTTCCTCTGCACTTCCTCTGCACTTCCTCTGCGTTTATTACAGACTGAAGCAGAGAAGAAGAAAGACTCACCGCAGACAGACGGATCACATTTGATGCTACGCGTTTGCACAAAACTGTTGTTTACTACATCATTTATCTCTAAACCACTGATGTGTTTAAAGACATTTTGTGTGCTGTTTAACTTTCCAAAAAAATCCCATTAGGTAGTTAGAAATGTACCTGTTCTGCACAAGGAAGTCCACTAAGTGCAGGGAGGTCTGGTCAGCAGTCCGTACAGAGTAGTGCAGTGCCGTCTCTCCGGATTCCTGCAGGGGGCCATCAAACACAGCAAAAACACGGTGAGACAATCTTGGGCAGCATCCATTCTGTATTCTCTCCCTCTCTGAGTCTCTTTCAGCATTTAAACAAGCTGCAGTAAACAAAATGGCTCCTAAAATATTATTTTCAGCAGGCACGAAGCTGAGACTTGCACATTTATGCGAGTATCTTGCAATAATTTCACCCGTCAATGTAAAGTAAAATTAAATGTATTTTCTATAGATGCAGCATTGAAGATGGAGATGAAAGACTAAACATATAGGAGTGTATGTGCTGTATATTATTTTGGCATCTATAGGGTAGAGTAAGGGCTGTATGTAGTCGCGCAGGGAGGAGGAGTGGGGGAGTGGGATGACGCTGTGCTGTCGGCAGCCATTCAGATGTACTGACAACAGCGGATCAGTTATCGGTGAGTCAGACTTCATAGCGCAGACAGCAGCAGCTCCCTCTGTCAACGCACGATATCCTCTCTTATTCCGCTGCTGCAAAGTACACTTAATTTTTCATTAGAGAACTACCATGTCTGTGTTATAGAACCGTGACCCATTTATGTCAGACTAAGTCTGATCACCCGCGTTGTTTACGGCACAGCATCTCCACCATCCACCGCTTGTTATTTAACTTTCATTCATGCCTGAAGCAGCAGTGCAAAAAAAGGCGACGAAACAAAGAGGCTGAATCACGAAGAAAAAAAAAAACAACAGAGACATGAATTGTGCCGCCACAGATGTCATCTGAGCGAATGTGAGCTTGAAATAAAAATGGAGGTTGCTGGATATCACCACCTGCTGGTGAACTTATCTGGATGACTGTAAATTTTCCAACTGTTACACCCATTTCTACCGGCCAAATACTTCACCAACTGGTAGAAATGTGTCAGCGTTGGTTGTCCTGCTGGCAGTGAACGTCACGTGAGGATGAACCACTGCAGCAACATGAGCAGAGCTCGGAGAGAGACATTTCTGGGGTTTGTAGTCTAATATGATGGTGTGGGATTAAACTATACATGTAACCGTGTATGAGGATGTTGACATGCTAAGATTGAGCAACCAAATGTCACTGGACCAGATACCACTAGAGGTAAGTGAGTACCTATGTTGTTTTGATATGGGTGATATTTGATTGAGGACTTACCGATCCAACCTCTGGGAGCGGATCCATAAGTTCAACCCCCTCTGCATAGACCTGGATGAGGGACAGCAGATCCCTGGACTCAACCGCCTCAAACAGCTCGATCATTTTAGCTGACGCAGACGTGCACGTCTTCCTCGCATACTTGTGGTCCACATACTTAGCGTAGATGAACTCCTTCCTCACAGTCCTGTGGCGGAGAAGAGGAATTCAGCCGTTTGGATATTCCGCACATCTAGTTTCCGGGCAGCGTTTTTTGCTCAGAGAGTACTTACATGTCACTGGATGGAGTGGGCTTTGGTGAAGGGGAAGAGAGGTTTCCCTCCATGATCTCATTGAAACTACTGTTGCCTACATTCTTGGCCAGCTGGTGGAGAAAGAAGAGAAAGTCTGCATTAGATCACAACAGTAGAACAGCATTTGTATGATCTCAGAGACAGAGCAGCACGTCGGTTCTGGGATTATGCATCTCTGCAGCTTTAGGGATCAAATACTGCTCTCTGCAGAATTTCCACTACTCTTTCATTACTTCTAATATTTCACTGGAGATGAAAACGGAAAAGGGCGTGGACTGCTGCCTCAGAAAGCTATTTATTTACTTGGTAGACCATTTCTCTGACTCACCAAGAGTTCTGAAGTTCCTAGCTTGTCGAGCTCCATGGACTGGATGCGGGAGATGTGGACTCCCATCTCTCGGTGGATGCCAGAGCACTCGATGCAGGTCAGGATCCCCAGGTTGGTGGACAGCCACTTAGGATCTACAGACACAGACAATATTAGAAACCGGTGTTTGATGCTCTTTATAATCTACAGTATATGGTTGCTGCTATAGTCAACGTGATCACAAGTGGATGAACAGATTTAAGCCTAAACTGAATACCAAATAAAAGAGTTGTATTTAAGTAGCACCAGGTAACAGTGAAAGCTCCACATTGCAGAAAGAAGAGCCAGAAATCGTGAAAATAAATGTCGGTAAAATTCAACTTAAGTCCATCTTGGGACATCAGACACACGTCATCTACATCTCTACTGTCAACGATCAACTACATGCCCTAAAATTGTATTTTAGTATAAACATGCAAGACGTGTTTCAGCATTCAAATCCTGCCCGTTACTATATGTTGTGTGTGTGTCTGCGCTGCATTCTGGTCCTTTAAGGCTGCTGTCAGTAGAGAAATTGGTTTCTCAGCATGTAATTTATTCCTGTATGACTTTAACACTTGGGGAGAAAAATGTTGAGCCTTGACAGAAGCTATTAATCACCGACTGACACCAATGTCTTCTATACATTTTCTGCTATATAAAAAATAACTTGAAATCAATTTGCATTCTTTATTTTTTAATACATCAACCTTTCAGACCACTAGACTGTCGTAGGCACAAACAGTGACCACAGTCACATCATACTGCAGGAGGCGTGTACAGCCATTTGCGTAACCTACTGCCAAGCAAACGGCACGAGCACGCTCTGATGAAGCGCCCTGTAAACCGCCGTCATCGACCGACGTCACCGCCTGATGTTCTGATGCAATCTGGGAGATTTAAGCGCGCTTCAAAAAGCTTTGTCGGTTGTGTGCTCGCTGATGCCGAGAGGCCGGGGATGTTGCTCTGTTTGGATCTGACAAATGAACACCAGGCGTACACGTCGGAGGCAGCTCGAAAACTAATGAGTCATACACCGAAACGCAGGCAAAAGGCAGACACGCACACACATTCTCACAACACAATGAGCAGATGCAGGCTGGCGATAGGTCACGGAGTGCACTGTTTGTTCGGCACAATGAGCTGATGCACGGTGACCTCTACAGCTGATTAATGCTAAAGCTGCAAAGCTGTGTCGTACAGAGGGAGATCCTGGGGAGAATATCAAAGGAGACCAGATGGAACAAAGACGTGATCTTTCAACCGTGAAGAAACAGTCATTTTATTGGTTGAGGAAAGTAAACCCTGTCAGACCATTTGATCAAGAAAAACAGTAATCAAACGGGAAACAGGGCTTAAACTCCACATCTGGAACATGTGTTATACTGAAACCATGTACGGACGAAGCAACAAGAGCATATAGACACATATCACCTCCCCTCTCTGCAGATTGCAGGGGTCAACAGAGGGTGTGTGACTTATGTAAGAACGTCATGTAATGATGCAGTTTCTCAAAGCGAACAAATGTTTTTGTTTTTTTTTAACCCTCGGAGCATAAAGTCCTCTCTTCAATGGCTCGGTGAGCTGCAGTGTGTGAGCTGACAGAGGAGAGAGTGTGTGGATGTGTGTGTGTATATGCATGTATACGTGTGTGTGTCAGAGGGCCTGAATGTCTACGCCACTCCTGAGTGCTGAGTCTTTGCTTCCTAATGTGGGGGAGGATCAGCACACACACACACACACACACACACACACACACACACACACACACACACACACAAGCGGCAGGAGGATTTGTAGCTTGTTCGGTTACCATCGAACTGAATGTCAGAGTTCAAGGCAGCTGTGACATTGCAAAGAAATCAAGATTGGTGCGTGGCTTTAAATAAAACATTTGCCCACAGTGAAATAAAGAAAATGCTGAAGTAAGAGTGTTTGCCTTCTCCGTCAACAAGGTGAGGGATGACCAAGCATAAAACAGGAAGAGGATGTGTATGTAGCCTCTCTGGACACACAAACAGCAGCAGTACACACCTGCAGCTCCGCAGTCGCAGCAGAACTCGTTGCCTGGCATGCGCAGCACGTCTTCGATGATGGCTTTAGTCAGATCCTCTAAACCATCCTCGCCTCCGCTGCTCTGCTCGCCACGGAACGCCATGTTCAAGGCCTCCTCCTTACTGTTGGTCAGCACCGAGATCCAGCTGCAGAAGGGATCACATCATTACTGGTGTTGTATATAAAAATGCATTTTTATCTATAATGCATTCATTAAAGCAACAGTTGCAGAGTTATTTGACAAAGAGCATGAAAGAACTACAGCTGCAACTGCTGAAGTATAAAGATTATTTTCTCAAGTCACTTAATTGATAAGTCTATAAAAAGGCAGAAAGTTGTGACTGTTGGCCATCACAATTTGTTATATCAAAACAGTCCAAAACCCCAAGATATTCACTTTACAACGATATAAAACATATATATATGTATGAAAATACATTTAGATATATAACTACTGATGATAATTATTTTAACTCTTCTTACTTCTATTTTTCGAAGTGTCTGAAAACACCCTCATTTTGGATTAATTTCCTCAACATATTTTATTTATTTACTTGGAAAAGGACATACACACACACACACACACACACACACACACACACACACACCATTAAGAATCATGCAGATCGGAAGCGATGCAGCTGCCTCTCAAACTTGGCTTCCTGCAGCTCTCTACAACACACAATCTGCTCCTGCAGTCTAACCACTGAACAGGCCCACCCACACCCACACACACACACACCCCCCCCCCCCCCCCCCACACACACACAGGGCTTTATGAGGCTGACGTCAGCACTTCCTCTGTCATTGCCACTCGACCCCGTCTGCAAAGGCAGAGGCCAAACAGGGACTGGGCACACGAACCAATGTGTTAGATTGTCTATTTTTCTGTATGTGTGAAAAAAACCAAGATATTTTCATCCACAGATGCGTAGGTGTACAGATGCCGAGCCAAAGCGTTTGTGTGTTTACTTATATTATGCATAATGTGCTCCTAGCCTAATTGAGGGGGAGCGTGATCGCACAAAGCAGGAGCCCTATGGAATACTAAATATTTCATGGAAAAGCCCAAGAAGACGCTGATGCTGCTGCAGTTGGAAGTGCGTGTCTGAAGCGGCAGTGAGGAGCAGCAAGCTGGATCCCAAAGGACGACAAGGACACGGTGATACACAGTGTTCAACCGCAGCAAGGCATCAGAGTGAAGACATGCAAGACCCAGAGCAGAAAAGTGCCACAAATCAAGAGGGTTTTTAGGTCTCGACATGCTCAAGAAAATCAGTATAAACACCTTTTTTTTTTTAATATGATTCAATGTGTTTCTGTGACAATTCTTGTGATTTAAGAGCAAACATAACCTTTTTATCCAGCAATACAAAAAGAAATGTTAATATTAGCTTGATATTTTAAATAAGCATTACCTGAAATTAATATCTATATTAGAAGAAGTACAAAATGTACTTCTTTCCCAATTTTTTCAGTGAGAATAGATGCAGAGCACCAGTATGAAATAACTCATACATTTGTTACCTCCCTTAAAGTCGCTTACATCTTTCAACAATGGGAAGATCTGCCAGAAATATGAAAATCTTCCATTTCCACATCTTCCTTATCAAAACCTGGCGCCTCCATTACCCACAATGCCACTGAACAGTTCAGTCGAAGACTGAAGACAGTAGAGGCAATGCTTCAACCCCAAATCTATGTCATTTTCAATTGTGTTGTCTTCAGGCAACATGTTTAGAGGAAACAACGCGAGTCACTGACTGAACTTTAATTTTAACGCTCGTCTCTTTCGTCCAATCAAAAAAAGAAATAAAATTAAATGTGTGCGTATGTTAGGAAAGAATGAAAAGCTTACTTCTGAAAGTCTACATGAAACTTAACGGTGCTGTGTGATAATCAATAAAACCACAATTCTAGTAATAGGTGTCCGTGCATGTGTGGCCTACTGACATGCATGTGTGTGACAGCATGGGGAACGACAGCATGAGATTACAACGACCTGAATTACTGCAGACCAAAAACCCCACTGCTATTCTCGGTGCCACTCACTCTCACAGACTCTCTGTAACTCCCTGTCTTTTAGTATGAGAGCAGACGCTAACCAGCCCCTCCATTAATAAAAGCCATTAGGTGACAGTTCACACACACAGACTCATTCACTGGATTCAGTTGAATGTGGCCGGATATACAAGAAGCTTACAGTGTAACAGGTAAAGTCATAAACCTTAAGAAATCATGATAAATGCTCTTTATTGTGTGTGTCACTCTGAAGTACTCACATGACAAACTCCTGTTCATCTTCAGCTTGGAAATGATACGTCCGGTTATCTGTTGAACACAGAAACAATGACGTTAAGTAAGCAAATTTCTTATCTTGCATTTTATTACACCAGAAGCAACAGACAGCGTGCGGTAAATTATTCAAATACATCACTCGTCTGTGTGGCACCTGTTGGACGTTACACTTCCACAGATTCGTTTTCCTTGATGTTTAAAAAGCGTAGGAATCCCCAAACTGTCTCACACTAACATGCGGATGACTAAACTATTCGGACATCTAGTGAAACTTACGTGAAATGAGATCGAAGCACTTCCTGTCCTCAGTGCTCGGTTTGACCTGGCAGGTGAGCAGGTTGAGTTTGACCGGCTGCCTGTTGGACTGTGGAGAATAAACACATTGAGGGTCACACGGATCAATCAGGAAATATGTAATCACATAAAAAACCTCTACAATAAACACAAGGGTTTCTATGACTTAGTTATTGTTGTTTCGATGGATTAAATGTCAGGAAATCTGGACTTCACAAGGCCCAAGATGACGTTTTCAAATAGCTTGATAGGTCCACGAAATAGTCCAAAACCCGGATGAACTCTCTTGTCCCCGTTAAGAAACTGGACCGTGCTGGCTGCTCTGTGTACTGTAATAGTGGGCCCAGTTGGCACATGTACACTGGGCATTGTCTCCTGCCAGTGCCGGGGCGGAGGAGGGGCCGGGACACGTGCTAATGAAATGCTAACAGGCTGTGATGAGCCGTGGAGCTCGGCCGGCCTGCTGGCATCCCGCCACGTCAACTGGAGTCACATAGAGTTCAGCTGTCACGAGAGCTGAAGAAAACAAGAACTGAGAGAAGATTAGAAGCTCTCAGAACTACGAAGAGCAGACAGAAAGGTTCAAGATCGAGGCCCTCCATCACTCAGCGGAACAAAATTAAACCTTTCACATCATATCGGAGACACACGCCTCCCCTGAGCTTCTCGTAGCAGACGCAAAGGATGTTATCATGTTTGACGCAGCGGCTGTGTGAAGTTTCACACCCGAGCACTCTGAAAACATGTGACCGATACAAACTCATGGACACTTGAGTCATTACTTTGCACTGGGCTTTCACAAATTCATTTTACTGTAGATTATAGTTTAAGTTCAAAGACATTTTTAGAGTTTGACTCACAGCACAAAAAATGACAAAAAGGCAGCAAGCTAGTGAACTTTATTCATCAAACTGAGAACAATTTGATCTAAAAAGGATCTTCTTCACGTCGACAAACTTAAAAGCTCTTCATATAGAGAAGGTTCATGTGACTCACAGCCAGCAATGAACTGTGAATAATCCTCTGAGATGTGGTAAGAAGATAAGTGCCTGATGTGTCATCTTTCGGATAGATTGAAGTGTTATTGAACCACAACTATTTATTGTTGGCCTACGGTCTAAGAATCAAGCAGCTACAAAAAACTAAGCTTAGGTTTGATTTTTGATCCACAATGATAAAAATCAAGTAGTTTGGATTATATTTTTGTACCATTGCTGGTCATCAATCAGATGAGCTTCCCTAAATATCTTAAAAGTGAACTTGTTTGTTTGTAGACATCGAAAAACCTAATCCTCTGATACCTTTCAGGAGCTTCTTTTAACAATAATTGGATCATTTCAAAGTGCAGTAAGACTCAGGTTGACATAGCCAACACTCACTGTTTATACCTTGTTTATTCCTAAAGCCAAATGAACATTTGTCACATTTTGGATTCATCTGTGTCTGATGAAACAACTGCATTGCTCTGCTGAAGGGATTGTGCTAAAGTCAAGTTAATTCAGATCTAAATTCATCTTTTTTTTTTTTAGATTCCCTCCCGTCCATAAAACGGCACACAGCAGCGACTGCAGCTGTACGAGAGAGGAGTCGACCCTGCAGACGTGCCAGCGTATACAGTACGCTCACACTCGCTCGGAGATGAGTCACCGAGGCGCAGCAGGCGGAGGGGAGGGGGAGGGGCTATGGGAAGTGAGAGGAGGGGGGTGTTGCCATGACAACCCATCTATGTCAATTCCACTCTGCCAGCCTGCAGATTGGGAAAGACCAACACAACCGACACTGATGTTCTCCCTTTGATCTGCAGTCAGTGTGTGTGTGTGTGTGTTGAACTCACTGTGGCATGAGAGATGGTGAGCATGCCCCCCTTCACTGAGCACTGCCTCCTCTGCCACACCTTCCTCAGCCTGTGAAGAAGAGAGGGAGGGAGGGACATGAGGTAAGGACTTCTTATGTTCTTTCTTTTCTGTGTCCACTTTTAATTTTTGATGCAACATGAATGACGCTCCACGGCGTTTCTTTTAAATAATGGCCGTGTCTGCAGCTTACCCATCACTCTTCTTCAGCAGGTAGCCTTTCTTCTCACAGCCGAACTCCTTGTTTCCCTGCAGCTGGTGCATGCTGTAGCCACCCTGCTTACTCTGCGAGTCCTGTGCGAATCCACACAATACCAACGTTTAACACACGGGGTACACCGAGGAGCCGCTGAAGGACACGCAACGCAGGCACAAACACACTACAAACTCATCCTCCAACGTCAAAGTACAGTACAGGGTCTCTTCTCAACACCAAAGTGCTAACAGGAAAATTAAAAACTAGAAAGGCATGCTCTGAAGCCTCTAAAGGGCCAAACCACTCTACTGTCAAGCAGAACAGACTGATGCCAGCATGCTCAACATGCACCAGCACTTACTCTTCTAGACTTGAATCCAGACGAGCAGAAGGCAGAAGAGGGGAGATAGAGGGGAGAGGTGTGAAAGATCCAACTCAGGTGCAGGCGGCGGGTGTGAAAAAGTGCGCCGCCCGCCCCAAAGAAACAATCTCACGTGTTTAGCCATCTAAATGACATGCTTACCGTAGGTGCTATTAACAAGAGAAGCTACAGGAAGTGTAAATTAAATGTGAAAGACTGTTGTGTCATGCAGAATAGCGAATGTGTGAAAAACACACGTACAGCCGCGGCAGACTAGGTTTATAAGTAACTCCGGGGGTTGGCAGTGTTTTAAGGGATGTGGTGTTTAGTCAGGCAGTGAGTGGCTCTCCACTGAGCAGCCAGTGAGGCACAACACTGGTCACCAGCAAAGCCTACCACACACTGGCTACCAGCATGGTACAGCACTGGGCACTCGCTCTGTGCTGCAGGAGACAAGCTCCAGACCTGGTAGTGGCCAGAGTGAGAGGAGGTAAATAAACGTGGGATGGGAGTGTCGGGGGACGAGGCGGGTGAATCAAGGTGCTGTGTTTAGCCCTGTATGTTTTTTTTCGAGAATTTCACCTGCTACAAGTTTAAATTTGGCCGGGTGTCTCTGAATGTGACCTGCCTACCTCCTTCTGGTCCAGCTGGAGGGAGGACTTGATCAGATCGCGCAGGGCAGTCAGCTGCTTCTTCTCCTCATCCTGAGTTTGTTTGATCTGAGGAGAAAAATGCAGAGATGAGGACGCACCGACAAAACTTTACCAGCCTTTACATATTTACTTTCTATTCTGAAAATCGAAGTCTCTCACTGTAGTGAATTGTGTGTTTCTCCCTAAGCTTTAACAAACATCCCAAAAACTTTTTTAGGTGCTGGATCACAAAGCAAAGAGCGAGGGCCACACAGAAGATCTGCACACTGTGCCAATAGCTGCCAAGTGTCAGGTTTTGTGAGAGCGTGAGGATCTTCTGTCCGACTTCCAGGCGTTACCATCTTTGGATATGTGAGGTTTTTCTAGTTTCCAGGAGATTCTGAATCATGACAGTTGCTGCAGATGTGCTACTTTCCCCTCATATAATAACTGCAGGAGCATTATATGCTGATAAATCTGCTGCCTCAGGGGAAAGCAGAGCAGTGCTGTAAATAAGAAACGTTGGTGAGCAGTCAGTGAAGGCTTTTTTAAAAAGGTTTGCTGTTCTGAGCACAACATAAATCCAAAAACGCGTCAGTGACATTCGGGAAAAAGCCGTTAAGTGGACCTTGATTTGTGTGTTGTTGTTTTGTCAACTCAACTTTATAGACTGAATTCAGAAAGAATAAAAAAGGTAAACACAAACAAAGTACGTGTACATAAACACAGAGCAGCTTTCAAAATAAAAGCATAACAAGAGATGGAAGATGTGCGTGTTTACATTGTAGAGATCAGCTGCCAACTTCTCGATGTACTGCTTCAGCTTATCGGCCGTCTTCAAGCCATCTTGGAAGAAACTGGAGAACAAAGGTGCGGTACGTGTGAATCTCACTCACGTCAACATGCATTGGAATAAATATGAGAGACAAGCGGTCCATTTTTTGTGAATTAATACGTTGCAAATGTCAGGCGTGCTGCTTTTGGCCCCTATGAAGGTCACACAGAGAGAGAGAGAGGAGATTGGTGCAGTTTATGTTTAATGTATAGCGCGGCTCCTTCTGGCGCCTTTGCCTCTTGGCACAGAAATCGCAACTGGCCGTGTCCGCAGCAGATTGACTGAGGTGCTTAGCACATCCTGAAATCCATCACCGATCTGTCAGCGTTACACACCTCGATGCAGCGCTGCAGTCGAAAATCACCGCTAATGACCTTTTTTTTTTCCTCTCTCCCCACCCCGCGCCCTCCTCTCCCTTCCTCTGCTCATTACTTTCTCCGTCACATCTCTCCTCTGGTTGTTTTCTTTTAATATGTGCATTAAGGATCCCCCATCTCTCCTCCCACTCCGTCCGGCTCTCCCCGAGGACTGAAGGCCTTGCAGAATGTATAGTGAAAAGTGTTGACGCTGCAGGTATAGACTGGGTTCAGCTCGGTGGACTTTCTTGCACATTTTGCCGCACTATATAGTTATGGATGTATTTACCATTGCGTTTACATATGACTATTGGTCATAATAACATTTTACCCACCGCATTCAGGGAATGTGGCCTCCAGCAAGAATGATGTTTATTGGGACGAGTAGTGGGAGACTCTGACATCTTTGTAAAAAAAACTTCTCAAAGCACAGAAAGTAGTTCTCTAGAAATCCCCGTAGGTGCTGTGGCAAACTGCAGTGCAACATCCTGCCGTACCTGCTGCATTGATGCGCATACGCCAACGTGATTATGCTAGTGAGGAGTGATTCAGCTTGTGTGCATGCTGGAGAAGCAGTGCGTCTGTCAGTAAGTCAAGTAGTAAAATAAAATGACAAGCAACACACTTTATTAACTGTCAATTAAAGATGATTTGAGGTCATTTCTGTTACTTGAAGTTTTTTGGAAAGTTTCACCCCGATCAATGTCTGTGTTTGAAATTACATAAACATACTGCCAACTAAGTTCCCCCTTTAGCACGCTATTACCGGCAGACTGTAAACTCATGTCTCATATTAAGAAACTCTTGCTGATCTAGTATACATTCTTCCATTTCATGAATACACAAAATAATCATACTATGCAGTCGGAACGCACTACACACTCAATTAGTATGAATAGTATGCAATTTTGAACAGACCCAATGTTGTTCTTGCAAGACTCCATGTTTCTCTGGGCATGGCTGACAAATACCCAAATTTCCCGTTAAGTGCCGTCCTTAATTTCCTGAATGAAGCGGTGGTTCAGGTGGTAAAAACGATAATGTCGTCTTCTTTCTGGCTGCGAGCAGTCACACTCGTCCCTCCGCTCTCCATCAATTGCTTTTCTGCTTCTAATCCATCTCCACTGCAGCTTTTCGATCCATCAACGACCAGGTTGAACGGATTAAAAAAAGGGGGTGGGGGGGGGGGGGGGGGAGTATATTGTTTTGTCCCAGTGTTATGACAGGACCTAGCAACGCTGAGAGAAAATTTGTCATTCTGTTCGCAGAACGTTGTGAGCTGCGGTTCTGGCACGGAGAGCGCCCACTTATTTACCCACCGAACCCGACAGCTGTCAGAACATATCTGTATGATGACCTGTGCATATTTATGAGGGCTATACACACACACACACACACACACACACACACACACACACACACACACA